TAAATCCTTCACCCAAACTTTCAACCATAACCTGGGTTGCTGTTAAGGAACTTAATTTAAGTTACTATATTGGGGAAACCCTATTATTTACTGTATATACCCATTATGGTAACTTAAATTAAGCTCCTTAACAGCAACCCAGTCTCGTGCACGCGGCAGCTTTGCAGCGGTAGCACGTGGCTCCTCGTTTTGGCTGGGGTCCGCAGGTTTTGGGTTTATAGGGATGAAGGGAGTTAGGGTTTAGGCATTGAAGGATTTAGGGTTTAGGGATTGAAGAATTTAGGTTTAGGGATTGAAGGATTTAGGGTTTAGGGATTGAAGGATTTAGGGTTTAGGGATTTAAGGATTTAGGGTTTAGGGATTGAAGGATTTAGGGTTTAGGGATTTAGGGTTTACTTATAAGGGGTCAGGGTTTAGTTTGGGTTTGAGGATTTTGGGCTTGGGGTTCCCTAAAACGAGAGGTCCATTTATACATAGGGGTTACATAGGAGATATTTAGGATTGTACAGGGCTTAGGGGGAGGGGTCCCCTTTTTGGGAGTACCGATGCTACGGATTTCAGCGTTGGAGTCAAAATTGGGATCCTTTATTTATTGAAACCCCCATATTGGTATGTGCGCAGATCGGGGTCTCCCAAAACGAGCCCCTTCGGATAACAGTAGCCCTAAACACTAAACCCCTAATGTCTAAACCAGAGAGAAGCGTAGTTCAGATAACCCTAAACCCTAAACCCTTTACACTTGCCTTTCTATGACCTTCCCTGCTGAGCCAAGCAACGCCGTGTGGGTAGCTCCCGAGCAGTAGCATCCTTCTCGATTCAGCATGCCAAGTGCTTCCATTCCAGCTCCCTTGTCGCACTCGCAGAACCCTGCCTGCAATGCGCCTTCAACCACCGAGTATGCCTAAGCTGGGTTGCTGTTAATGAGCTTAAACTAGTTTACCGTAAGATGGGTATGTAGTGAATAAGATGATATGGTTCCCTTAGGATATAGCAACTAAATTTAAGGTCCTTTAATAGCAACCCGTTAAGTTGGCTTCAATGAAACCGCAACTTCTTATGTAGCTATGACTGAAAAGCATGGTTGAGCATTCCTTCATGCGAATGTAAAGCACAACACCCCACCCTACAGTACCACTACCATAAACCCGCAACCCTAAACCCTAAACCCTAAACCCATAAACCCTAAACCCTAAATATGTTCCCGAACACTGGGGGGAGTGTAGAGGTCCTTTCCTAAACCCCATAAAATGTAATAATAGCCCTAAACCACTAAAAACAGCCCAAATGGATATAATTCTATATACATTTAGGGGTCCAGGTTGTAGGGAAAATTGAAAGTTAAGGGGTAGCAGGCGTTCGTATAAGATCTTTCAGTCTTCTCCCTGGGTGTTTTAAGTGCCATATTCTGTTTAGACCTGCAACAAAACACACATGTTTCATGATTCCTGACTATGACCAAAATGACAGAGAATTCCTAAGAAGACCACAGAATATATTGTTATATATATATATACAAGGAAGCACCGAAACCCAACGACCCCAATAAAGGGGACTGGGGGGAATCTATCTGCGCAAATTATCATAACTCGCAACCCTGAAAACCCTAAGCCCCTATGCCCCTAAACCCTAATTTAAGCACCCCATAATCCTCTGATCTGGCCTCTGGTTTGCTGGGAATGAAGGAATGGAAAAAATTGAACTACTATAAGGATCCATTCCTTCATTCCTAGCTAACCAAAGGCTAGCTATGTTCTGTGTGTGCCTTTAAGATCTCTAGAGCCCCACTTTTTTGAGAACGTCCCAATTTCAGAGGCTAGGGATGCATTAAACATGCCAGAGCACGTGAAAGTCCACGACTGCCTTGTAGGGCTCTGCGCGGACGCATTTCATGACAGATAGCTGGCCCGCCCATACCTGGGTTGCTCAGCAGCAACACAAGCCCTAAATCCTTTCGCCCAAAGATAGAGGGTTCAGGCTGAGACCAGCAGGACTTGAGGTTAAGAAGTACCTAAACCCCTAAAGTATGTAAAATTATAGCCCTAAACCCCTAAAAACAGCCCAAAGGGCTATAATTCTACATACTCCAGGGGTCCAGGTAGTGGCTCAGGACTCAAGACTTCAGCCACGAGGGATTGTCAATGAAGGAGCTTACTAAAACACATGCGTGCAAATCCTTAACCCTAAACCCTCCAGCCAGTACTTCGGGTTCCCAAATTTCCTTACTTCCAATTTGGAAAAATTTCAAGCTCTAAAATCCGTCAGCAAGACCACAATAATACACGCTACACCCTCAACCCCGATCCCAGTAACACTGGCCAATCCCAAAGAATTTTTTTTCGGGGCCCAAGAGCACATAATCTCTGAGAAGCTCCAGTGCAGATGCTGTCAAATTCTCTGCTTGTGATACAACCATATTCCAGCCCAAATCCCCGAAATTCCCTAAATCCAGGTCATGTCCCTAATCTCTGAACTCATGCCTTTAGACATCTAATCCCTAAACCCTGACGGAATCCCTATCTAAATTGCCCTCAGATGCCATCAAATGATGTTGGACAGCTGGCACCAGTTCGCAACGAAGCCAGCCACGAGCAGATAACTCCTGGGTGGCGGGACGTGTAAGGCCTGGCTTCGGGCTTAGGGTTCAATTCCATATTCTATCTACTTCTGGGGAATTTGAAATGCTGCCCTAAAAGTCCAAATACGGAATGCTCATATACTCTCCCGAAACCCTGTACAGAAACTAGTGTCACGCAAATGCTGAGTACTCAATGATTGGGTACTTGGACCCTTAACTTGACCCCACACATGCAATCCTTTATAACACCTATACATCCCCTTTATCCAAAAGCTTTACGACGTCCCTTTCACCCCTTCAAATGGGCTCCTCTTGCGTTACCTGGACACTTAGGTGAAGCCCAAAATTGCGACTGATGTTACCTGGACCCCTAGAGCATGTAGAAATATAGCCTTTTTGGCTGTTTTTAGGTGTTTAGGGCTATTATTCTACATACCTTTTGGGTTTAGGTAGTAACTCCAACACCACATATAGGACTCCTAAAGGCCTAAAACCTTAAAACCTGAATCCTAAATCGTCTCTGAAACCCCCACGAACCCACTCCGATTTGGGAGTTGATCAGGCGCCCTCATCATGCCCATACAATCGTTATATATCGATATATATGCCTGGGTCCCGAAGGGCCCCCAATTTTGAGAACCACCACCCTCATCCCTAGACCCTCACGCCCAGAGAAACAAAACTCAAGACCTGAACCCGACACAACTTGATTTCCAGCTTGATTTCCCTGAAACCCAGGTTCGTGACTGATGTTTTGCGCCAACTTAAACCAGTCCACCAGGTTCTCTGCGTGAACCATCCAGTCCTAGAGTTGAGGGCTTAGGGTCTACGGGTCTAAGGTCCCATTTAAAGGCGCTTAGAGGTTGAGGCTTTAGGGGTGTAGTCTAGGGTTCCCTCAGAGGGGTTTGGGAGTTTAGGGGCGGAGGCTTTAGGGGTATAGGGTCTAGGGTTCATGGGCTAATCTCACTCAGAACCTATTAGGACGCTTAGGGGACTGGTAATTAGATCAGAATTACACGTATATATACATGGGTTATGGCCACCCTGCGCTTAAAATGTGGAGTTTAGAGTTTAGGGCTTGTTTCAGTAGAGGGGTTCAGGGTTTATGAGGCTTCCTTCCGCAGGGATGTGGCATGCAAAGGATATACAGGCATTGGGGGCTCTTGGGTTTTAGGATTTCGAGATTCATTAACCCCAACTCTTACGAAGGTGTACCGTCAATCTGTTCAATCAATTCAAGCAGTAGCTTCCATTTTCTTTTCCAATAAGTATTCCTACATTTCCCGATATACTCCTGTCTACCCCTATATTCCCTATATACACCTAGATTCCCAAGGTTCGGCGCAGGCTCTGCGGCCGCCGAAGTTAGTAGGCCTTTCAGTTAGTATGTGTAGGGCTTAGGGTTTTGGTTTAGAGATAGCACTTAAGTAGATAGAATATGGCTTTGGGTACATTATAATAAGATCCCCATATACCCTGTATTCTATCTACTTAAGGGGGACTATAGCCCGTAGACCCTGCACGTACCTCCACAACCCCTATATAGCTCCTGTATACCCTATTTACCCTGCATATCTTTCTCTTATACGCAAGTTTACCCTTATGTATGGTAGATTCCCTAAATAGGGGGGCTCCAATATACACCCCAAAACGCTATAATCCTGACTATGGGACCCCATAAAGGTACGCATAATCTTGGGAAACTCCTATACCTAGACCCTCCAATGTAGTACCTTTTTGGTAGTCCTAATAAGATTGCTAACCAAAAAACCATACCAAACCCAAAAAGGAACTACATTGGCGGGTCTAGGTATTCTCTTATATCGCTAAAAACAACCAACAAGGCAAGTGGAAGAAGAGCCCTGGCCGGAGAAAACTGAATTTGCAAAAAAAAAGAAAAAAGAGAGGAGAACCCAGAGGGTCCATATATACAACTATTAGGGAATTAGGCCCCAAAATACCGCTCTATAGAAGGAATTATGGGTCCCAATTCCCTAATTGTTGTTTTTTATGGACCGTCTGGGGAAGGGACGTTTTGGGTTTGGGGTTCTGGGCTTTTAGGGTCCTAGATTTTGGGGTTCCAAGGGGTCTGAGGGCATGAGAGTTTTGGGAATTTCGGGTTTAGGGTGTACAGTCTAGGCTCGGAACCCTAGGGTCGTGATTATTCGGGATTTGGGTTATCTTGAGAAATACCCAAAATGCCAAGTGTCGACGTCTCTGTCCACCACGTCCACCTTCCCGGCACTCAGCCTACCTTTTCAGGGAAAAGCCAAGAACTCCTGAACGCCTGCCTGCTGTGATGGATAAAAACATCCTGCATGTTCCAAACTACAGGGGAAACCCTAAACCCTAGACGTAAAACCCTAAACACTAGACCCTAAACCCCCCGACCCTATAACCTAGGGTTTAGGTTTTATGGGGCGGGCAAAGGGGTCTCGACTTAAAACTCACTTAAATCGATTGACATCGAAATGAAACCCAAATAAATCACATTGAAATCGAATTTCAGACAATAGACAATTGAAATCTATTTGCAATCAACATTAAATACGGCTAGGATGGTGTACAAATCTTTAAAGCCGCATTCATCTTTCAAATTATTTCTGATAAGAAAACTATATGAAAACCAATCGAAAACATAGGATACCAAGCGTATCCCTAATTCCTTTGTATTTCTAATTATCTCGCCCGAAAGACCTCAGAACCCCCCTAATTCATTATTAGGTGGCCTGTTTGAAAGGTAGTCTTCCCCTTTTGAAAGTAGTCTTCATCATTTTTAGACCCCTGAATTTATTGTTGAATATTCTGGGGGTTTCGAATGTTAGGGGGAGGGATTACGTCTAGACGTGAAGCCCCACATGAGAATCATTGAGGGACTTACACGACACGATTCGATACTCATAACAAACCTCAAGGCTTAGCCTCCAATGTCTGGAAACTCTTATAGAACCTTGAACCCTCAATCTTGTACATCCCTACCGGATGTGCATAATCTTTTCGACAGGGAACTCAGGCAAATACTTTCGGGGACGCCCTCAGACCTACATAACCCTAAAAAAACCTCCTACATAATCTTATATAAGTCCTGTATATCTCCTATATACCCCTGTACAGAGGACCCCTAGATGCTCCATGACCAAACCCAGATCCTGAACCCTAAAACGTCAAACCCTAAGTTTTAAACCCTAAACCAGAAGCAAAAAAACCCTAAAACCCTAAACCCTAAACCCTAAACCCCAAACCCTAAACCCTAAACCCTAAAACCCTAAACCCTGTAACACTAACAGTTTCATCCCAGGACCCTGGATCTCGCCATACCGCACCAGGCCCACAAGTGTGCCGCCAGTGGGGAAATACTGCGCCTGTGGGGATTCAGGGTTTTGGGTTGAGGGTTTTGGGTTGAGGGTTTTAGGGTCTAAAGTTTAGGGTCTAGGGTTTAGGATTTTAGGGTTTAGGGTGCGCTTGCTTGGTGTAGGGTTTAGCCTTCAGGGCTTGGGGTTTGAGGCTTGCGGTTCAGAGTTTAATGTTTAGGCTTTACGTTTTGAGGTTTGAGGCTTAGGAAGGTCGCTGAGACTTTCAAAGGATTTGCGTAGCCGCTATAGCTTATCCGAACTACACATAGAAGTAAATGCCCAATTACTAAGTGCTCTCCGACTCTCCAATTCCGTGAACCTCCACGCCTGCTACCCAGACGCACCGTAACCACAAGCCCTAACCCCATGAGGTTCAAATTGTGCCGTTTAGGGCTTCGGGCTTAGGGTTTAGGATTTAGGATAATGATGGGTCTGTCTTGGTTGTTGGTAAGTGCCCTAGGAACACCAAACCCCAAGGGTTTGGAGGGGCTAAGTAGGCGTGCCTTCAAGAAGATGTAGGGTTCAAGTACGGGTATATAGGGATGTAGAGGATATAGTGTTGTAGATACTTGAAATTTTCCAGGGGCTTAGCTGTAGTAGGTCATAAGCCGGGGCATAGGTCCCCTAAGTGGTATTGGCCTTCTTAACTTTTTTAGAACCTGCCTTTCGTACTTGCACTGCAACGGATCACAATCCCAAAGCCTACGGACCCTCAAAGAGCCTGGCTGCGCTTCAGGACGGCAATGGTGTCCTTCAGGGCATCTCGTTTGTAGGGAGTGAGGGAATGGAGAAGGCTATGGAAACTGCCATGCGCTTGCGTGCATCCCTTGGAAATCCGTACTTTGCGACTTGTTGCTGATGCTGTTGATGGTGGAAATCTTGCACTACCTACGTGCATGGATCTCTTGCAATTTCCAAGAACTGGGGTACTTAGAGTGAGGCAGGACGTCTTTCCGTCAGCAATATTTCCTAGAGAATGACAGAAGACAAAAATCCCCGCAAGAACCCCCACATACTCCATGGCTTTGTTTGGAGGTCTCTCCAACCGGACACATAGTACATATTCGGAGGACCCCCCACCCTGTAATAATGGTATAATAGGAATATAAGAGGACCCTAATATACTCCTTATTATCCATAATATTCCCCTCAGCGTAGCTTCCAAAAAGAAGCCGGGCCCCAGCCCCCCTTGGTTGGATGCTGCTGCTACGGGGAGAAGCTCAGTATAAGACCCCCGCTATTCAGACTAATTAATGATACGAAAGTAATAGGGCTTACACCAAAACCCCAAAATATAGCCCACAAGGCCATTATCCTACATACTTTTGGGGTTCAGGCAGGGTTTACGGTTTGGGTTCGGGGTTTAGGGTTTAGGGTTTGATGTTTGCGGCTCGGGATTGATACTAAGAAGACCATACCTAAAAACCATAATTGCAATATACTTAGACTACGTGGCACGTAGGACCCCTACTTGGGGTTGACCCTTAGGTACCTATAATGGGAGTATAACGGAATCCCAAAGGGTGATGGGTCCAAGGTCCCAGCAAACTCCCAAGGAGAACAATGAGACGAAGGTCCCCTGGACCAACAAAAGGATCAAGCGCATAATCCTGCTCTTCCCCTACCCCAAATGACCAGTGAAACAAACAACCGCTAAACCCTACCCTAAACCCTAAGCCCTAGACGCTAAACCCTTAACGCTTAACCGCTCGGAGGTAAACCTTTAATTGAAGCAAGCAGCCGGTGATCAAAGCGCTCTAGACCATAAACCCTGTTGGGCCAAAAACCGTGCCGCTCGAATACATCTAAAACTCAATCCGAAACCCGTAACCTACACCTGAAACTGTGAAACCTAAACCCTGAGCCCAGAGACAAATTCACAAGCCCCAACCAACGAGGCAAAAAAGCTTTAATCTTGAGCCCGAGGGCCTCAACCTAGACAAGAAACTGTGAGCCTTAAACACTAAACCCCAAACCCTAAACACTAAGCCAAATCGTAACTTCTCAAGGTCTGAACCTTACACCTTAAACGTTCAGGGTTTAGGGTTGAACGCTAAACCCCTAAATCTATCAAAGCCAAAAAGCCCAAACCCTACTCAGTAAGTCCAGCTGACCCTCCAAATGAAGCTAAACCCACGCCTGGAGCGCTTTCCTCTGATCTTCCTGGCTGAGTACCTTACGTGGTTTGGGGGTTTGGGGCGTAGGTTTACGGTCCCAGGGTTTCTCTCTTCCCCAATAACCAGAGCAAAACAAGTTTAAACTATATTATAGAGACCCAAAAGGAAGTCCAAAAAGTTTAAAGTTCTTCTATTGGCTAAGTAATCTCAGGGGCTTAAGCCCTCAGGCCTAACCTTAAACCCTAAACTGGAAAACTTATCTGCCTCTGAGGCCTGAAATTGATTACCTAAACCCCAAAAGTATGCAAAGTCATAGCCCTAGACCACTA